AGCAATGCACTTTCCTGGAGCAATATGCTAAGATAAATGGCTCACAAAATGGATTCCTCTGTAACTGAATGAGATAACTTGCTGAATGGGGTTGTTAACCATAAATAAATTACAGGCTTTTTTTTCTGGCAATTGTCAGGGTAGCAGTTTCTCAAGGTCTTGGCTAGATCATATGTATAAAAAGTATTATACATCTTGTATGTATATTTGTGAGTGTATACATAAGTATTTTACATATTGAGAAAAACATGTACATAAGTATATTATAAACATATTCATCTTAATGTATTTTTCTTTATGAAGTATATATTCAGTACTAATTTGTAAATATACACTTATAAACATACATATATAAATATACTGTCTATCTATTCATATATATGTAAATATATGTCTCAGAAAGATTGAATAACTTACTTGAGATCTTACATTGTAGGCAAATGGTGGAGCTAGTATTCAAAGGGTGGCATATCTCCATAGTGTACATTTTAGCCACTAAGCTAGACTTCGTCCATGTGCAATAACACAATTTTGCTATTTGCTTATAAAACTATTACTCTTCTGTTGCTTGTGTCTAGTAAAGGAGCAATGTATCTACTCCACTCAAAATATTATTCAATCATTAAAAACAATTAACATGAAAGAAAGACCATCCTGATTACTGGGAGATCAAGAGCATTGGTATAGTGAACGTTCTATTTAAGGTTCCACTATTGAGAGAAGTCTAGAGAAGCTAATATAATAGCTGGACATCTCCTTTTTAGCCAGCTACTCTCTAAGTGTAGGAAATATTGTTTCATTTGTACATAATTAAGAGATTTCAATTAAGTGGTTTATTAGTCTTCGCTTTCAAATCTCGCCAGCCAGCTTCACAACTGTTTACAGCAGAATTGACATAGCAATTTTACTCTAGGAATTTATCAGAATGAAATTATTTAGGGGAAGTAATAAAGCTATATTCATGAAGATAGATAGTGCATCTTTGTTTGTGATGGAATATAAGAAAACATGAGACAAAACTATCCCTGGGGCCTTATGGTAAGGGGGGTAAAGACAACTATGGAATTATACTGTTTTGTTAACTTCCCTTAATTTTGTAATTTGTGATTTTTATTTTTCAAATAAGTATTTTGAATATTTATAAGTTTCTGGATTGAGCATCCTATCTTAAGACTAGGTTGGACTTGCTGGCTTCATAATCCAGGAAAAACCAGTGAAGTTGTAGAGATAGAAGCGTTCCAATCCCACCTCTGCTGCTCATTGGAAGTCAGTTGGCTCATTTGAATATTGAATTGTTATAATTTCTCCAAACAAAGCAGCAGGACTAAATTTTCATACATTCTTTCTAGCTAAATGTCATGGTGTTAAGAATCAAATAGAACATCAGTGTCCCAGACAGGGAAGGACAGTGAAATGAGTACAGACACAGGATATCAGAATAATGATTAAGAAAAAAATGGAGCTTGTCCAATAGCCACATCTCCTGCTTCCTAGACAGTGAGGCGTGAGGACCAGGTGCCAGGAGCCCAGGGGAGGTGGAGGGTGCAATTGCCTCAGATCTCCTTCCCCAGGGCCATTCTGCTACTCCCTGCCAAGACCGGATCAAGGTTTGATGTTGGCTTCTGCCAGCACATTGACCTTTCCTCCTGGCACATATGAGCAATGGATCCAGCCTCTTTTCCTATAGGGTCTTGAGTAGCATCAAGTATCTGCATGGGCTTCCATTTTGTGTTTTAGCCATTTTAGCCACAATCTTCAAAAACCTGACAGAGTGCTCCAGGCTAGAATGATCTTCCTCCAAGTTTCCATGTTGATTATTTGATGCAATCTCACAATTTGAATAAAAAAACAAACAAACAAACAAACAAAACATAAAACTTTAGAAACGATCAGTCAATCCATCTAAAACTACTGAATCTTAAAATGAAGTGTCTCCAGATATTCTTAAAAGTATGATTTGGGGTAAAGAATAAGAGTGCACAAGTTAGAGACCCAGCTGGACACAAACATCTGCCTCCACAGGTTAATGGAAGAAGAGTTTAAAGGATATTTAGAACCAATGAGGTGGCAAAAGACCCATGGACGAGCCTCAGCAGGAAGCTGTTGCCACCTCTAGAGCAGTGGATAGCTTTCAGGCTGAGTGTGAATTAGGCTGAAAGGCAGACAGAGCTGTCCCTCAAAGAGGCCAAAGAGCACCCTAAGGTATTTCATCCATAATAGCAACTAGAGGCCCGGTGCATGAATTTGTGCAACCTGGCCTGCAGGATTGGGCTGAAACTGGCTTTTTGACATCCCCTGAGGGGTTCCGGATTGGGAGAGGGCACAGGCCAGGCCAAGGGACCCCACCAGTGCACGATTGGGGCTGGAAAGGGATGCAGGAGGTTGGCCAGCCACTGACAAACCATGAGAGGGCTCCAGGGCATGTCTGGCCCATCTCACTCAGTCCCAATTGACTGGACCCCAGCAGCAAGCTAACCTAGAGGTTGACTGTTTGCCCCCTGGTGGTCATTGCACGTTATAGCGAGTGGGTGAGCAGCCTTAGCATATTATTAGCATATTACACTTTGATTGGCTGAATGGTTGACTGGACACTTAGCATATTAGACTTTTATAATATAGGATGAGGATCCTCTATTATCTCTTTGCACTGAGGAAGAAACGGTGAATCTGAGTTTCTGTCTGATTCCTGAGTTTGAAAATCCCTTTCACCACATTTGCCTATAATCAGTAAGTTTTGGGTTAGAATGAAAATTCTATTTCTCTGTCCTTGGTCCTGTTGATGAGAAAGAGAGAGGGAAGATCTCAATATTTTTATGGGCTTTTGTTGTCCTTATCTGACCTGTTAGCATCAACAATGGTGATAACAACAAGTATAGTAAACCACCAGTTCTTAACAAAAAAATAAGTTAAATGAAGATCAGATGATTAAACTTTCAATCCCAATTTGTAATTAACCCCAGAGAATCTTAGAGATTTGTTCTGGCAGAATGAACAAATGATAGTTCTTATAAACAGCCCTTTACTGAGAAGCCTTAAGCTGGAAAGTAAGTTTTGTTAAAGATGTGTGAAAAATATTGAAAGATATGTCAAAGTTGAGGAAAAGCAGATTATACAGTAAATTCACATTTGTATTTTTGTATTTACTGAATTTCATAGTAAAGTATTTAGTATAAGTTCAACTACATATTTTTTCTTATGCTTATTTTTCTGGAAGCATCCATAATGGATCTGGTTAAAGGATCTCTGGTTTGCATCCTTTTCTTTGAATAAAAATAGAAGAAAAAAAACAACATATTTGTGGATTAACTCTTTGAACCTGCAGATGGTGCTATGATTCCATTTTAAAATTCAATTTTGCTTTCCACCATATATTCATAGGAAAACTACAGACCTTTGTTTTCTTCTCATCTTGAGGTAAAAAAAACCACCAAGTAACTCTTTTTATTTTTGTGTTTTATTATTATAATGGGAGAAACTGTCCTTATCATTAGAAAAATCTTCAATAGTTACTTTTTGTTAAAGCTAAATACTTCCTTTGATGAAATAACCATCACTTTTCTATTCTTTTTCTTTCAGAATTTTCTACTTATCACTCAACATCAGTTTCTCTGTAACTCACAATCAACTTACTTTGCTGTTGATGTTATTAAATAACATTGCTTTACTAAGAACTGAGTGACAAAGATCTAAGGATAAAAAATTCCATATGAGAATCATTTCAACCTCTTGTTTGTAATAATCAGGTAAAAATGATTTCCTGGTATTAAGCCACAGGAACTCTGGTTTAAGTCAGAGCTGTCAACTGGGAAACAAATTTCCAGCCATTTTGAAGTTTAATTCATTTAATTTTTCTTGTAACTGGATTAGAAAGTATGATTAGCATAGCAGGATATTCTTTTACTGAATCAGTCTGACTTTGAACAAACCAAATAGATACTAAAATCTTAAAATACAAGAAAGAACATGGCTTTAGAGTCATTCTCTCTTGATAAATTTAAGAACAAAACTGTAAAAGAATATGTGCACTGGTAGTTTTAAAAAATATAAGGAAAGAAGTTCATATGGCTGTATTTTTTTTTTACCTTGAACTATGGTTAAATGTAAGCCAAACTACCATGAATTAAAAACCCACAGATAGAAATTAAGTATGTATCAAAGCACAGTACTCTCTCCATGCTTTCTAACTTGTTCTTTGAGACCATCTTCAAATGATTGGGTTAGAGATGTTCAAAAGCTAGTGTGGGTGTGGGTGTGTGTTGGAGAATGGGAGAGAAACACAGTAATTGTATGCAGTGCAAAGATTTATAAAAATGATGAGTAAAAATTTTGAAAAAGAAGAAAAATTGAATTCCTTGAGGTAGACAGTCTGATAATTTAGTTTTTAAGTAATTTGAGATTATGTCTGTGAAAGCGCACTGGAAATGATGACATTCTATAGAAATGTCACATAGCAGTGTTACTACCATCTTCTACTACAGAGTGTGTATTACCCTAGCCTGGGGTCTTTCTGAAACTTTTATACTGGGATTAACATAAAGTTTCAACATAAAGAAATTATTACAATGGAAAAATAAAAAAGAATTAGCTTTAGATGCTTTAAAAATTAGGATATCAAGAAAGAATATATGAATTAGGATCTACACAAATAGCATAAAAATAAAATAAAGGCTTTAGAAGAATTGATGCCTTGTAATAAAATAAAATTATACATTTGTAAGCAAAATAACCATAAGTGTTTATTGCTTTTTAAACCTATTCCTGCACATGAAATCCTTTTTTTTCTGGAAGAACCTCAATGTCCTTGACTATAATGCAAATTCACTTGCTTACATCATTACTGCTAATTAAAGATTACACTATTTTACATTAAACTTAATAGCTGTTTTTGTTTAAAGGAAAGTAAATTTCCTCTCTTTTACGTCATGAAGATGCTCACTATATATTTATATAAATCAGAAATTAGATAAGAATTTCAAGCTCTATTCATCCTGTGGGAGAGCTGCTGTGACGTCTTTCAGAGTCTTGTGATGGCTCAGCCCTGAGTACAAGGCCTATAAAATGATGGGCTTTGAACTGCTGGTCAAGGTAGAGTGTAAGCAGCTGCTGGCAATAACCCTTAGCCAGAACAAGGTCTGATTCAACTCTAACTGGTGGAGCCTTTCTTGGATTCACGGGACTTCAACACCTGAGACAGCTCCAACCTTCTGTGGAACAGAAGGCTCTCCAAGAACCCTCCTAGGCAAGGTTAGTGACAATGACAGCTTTCTTCTTTTGATCCCTCTCTGCAGTTGGGACTTTCTCAGGGTAGATTGAATTTTTTTTCTCTCTAGAAAATTTTTTTACAGTGTTCTTTCCTTACAACAACAAAAAGAGGAATTTCTCAGTCACCTGGGAAGGATAGAAATGGCTCAATTTATCACGCATGCATGAATTTTCTGAATTCTTTTGTTTAAAAGATGGTTTTCCTGCTTGCCATTTTATTCGATACTGTTTTTAAAAATAATGTATACAAGCAGTGTTTTCTTTTTTGTTTGTATATACATTTTTGACTGAAGGGCTCAGTGGGTACATTTGTTCTTGAAGTTTCAAACTTATTTTGTAAGTTCTGTTCTTTCTCTGTCATATGTTGGTTATGTGAATCTAGGAAGCATTTATCTTCCTTTTTATTTTAAATTGAAATTCTGTGATTTTTATAGAGAGCAAGAGAACAGATCATGAGTCTTAAGTTTCTATCTAGAAACCATTTGGACATAAATTGTGAAAGTGGATTACATGTTAAAATCACACATTGTTTTTAATTTTTTTTTTCCCTGTAGAAAAAAATAGGTCAATAGTGATATGTGGTTTAAAAAAATTTTTTTTGGGGGAGGAGGTATCAATTTTCACCAGTAATTGTGTTAAGTTGTTCAAACTCAGGCTTAAGGAAGTATGTTACCAGTACTGTTATATATACACATTTATATGTACATGTTCATTATAAAATGTAAAATAATTTAGTTTTATATTAATCAGATGCAGAATCTTAAAGTAGGAAAAATAATCATCTTTTTGCAGTTGTTAGAAATGATACTAAAATTTGATACTATCACTTTGTAATAGAAGATAGCCCCTGAGGCTATTTCCAGCAGGATGAGAGTAAGCCAATCAATAAATATATACTTGGGTCAACTATGAAAGCTTGGAAGTAGTTCAAAAGGATCCTAATTTTTATCCAAGCGCCCGTCACCAAGAGAAATCCTCTTCATTTAAAAAGCAATACTATTACAGTTTAACTGTTTCTATAAGATGAAAATGACTTTTTTCCAAACTCTGTGCAAGAGTCTTCAGTATTTGCTGGACATTCACAATCACGAGCAGGTGAGGTCCGTGGATGGGAAGTCTGATGTGACTCTCTCTTTCGAGGTGCAGAGATGGAATCCAGAAGGACACCCCAGCTCATCCTGCTCCTGCTCCTTTCTAGCACGCTCTTCTCTCAAACATTGGCGTGGCCTCTTTTCGGAGCACCTTCTGCTCTGAGGTAAGTTTTTTTTTGTTTTTTTTTTTTCCAATTCAGACAGTTGGACATTCCTTCATCTAAACCAGGACTTTCTACCTGGGGTTTTGGACAGCTCAAACTCTCAAAAATTACATGTTATTTATTTAAATACTAAATATCTGGTTGATGAATTAAGCAAGTTTTTTTCAACACCAGGTGCCCATGATTAGCCTGGGCCCCAGCATCACTCTCAGGGCATGAGAGACAGCGTCACTGTCTAGTGTTATGGATAGGATAGTTCACATCTCCAAACAAGGAGGAAGGAGAATTTGACTTTCCATTCATTCAAAAGCAGTTTTAGATGAGGAACGAGCTTTCATACAGCATCTCAGTTCAGATCAGTATCTGATGGAAAAATAGAACTTTTGTTGCATGCCTCATTTTCATTCATTTTTAAGATCAATCAGCAAATAATCATAAGTTTTTAGTAGTTGATTATAAAAATACATATAGAATCATGTTGGAGAAAGCTCTATCAATGCAGAATTCATTTGCTAATATTAAGAATTGTGAATAATTGATCTACTGAGATACTCTTGCCCCATGAGTAACTTAGTATATGTGGTTTTGGTTTTTAAAAATTCTTAGTGTTTACTGTTCTCTTTGTGTGGTATTTTATATTTTAAGTTCATAGATTATAATATAGCTCATTTAAAGCTCTATCTGAAATAAAATAAATGTATGTTTAAAGAAATAAATGGTCAATTAAAACTACATTAGTTTAAACTTTCCTTTAGTCCTATACCTAAGAGCCCTATAAATGGGCACTAACTACTATTCTTCACAAGTTCTGCTTAAAGCCTCTGTTGCTTTGATAACTAAATGGAATGATTCTGACTGAATGGTTATAGCATCACAGATGAACAATCACGAGAACGCCGGTGTTTTGCATTGATTACTAGGCTTCATTCTCAAAGAGAATGTTACTGACTACCAGCTACCACATCACCAAAAGATACACAAGTGCCCAGGAACCAACATATTCCTTAGAGGCTTCCCCTAACAGAGAAAACATACAAACAGAGAATTTTAATAGTGTGCTGGTGTTCAAAATGTGTATGCATTTATGAAATGTAGTAATATTCCGTGTATAGGTATGACTATCCTTAGTCTTTCAGTGAAGCACTGTACAGCCTTTACAGAAATACATAAGGTTAGAAACCAAAGGCCCCACAGAATTAATGAAATTTGAATAAGAATTCAGAGACGTAGAGATTCTTTGAGTTTCTTCAATACAGAGAAAAGTTTCTTCAATACAAAAACATCAATAAGCATACAATTTGCTCACCATTTTCATACTGAATATTAAATGTTTTCAAAGTGCTTATGAAATTTATGCTTATGAACTTTGCAACCTGAAGATATTACCAAGGAAGTATACTTTGCTTAATGTCCTGATGGGATGGAACTGAGTAGCTATCACACCTGATGCATACAGCTTATAAAAGTGGGATGGTATCTATTTTATGGGATAAATAAAATGTTATTATTTACACTCTCATAAACCATTGAATCCTTAAATCAGATATACTATACATATTTTGTAAATAGGCAATGCTTCACAAGATTTTGGGTATCTTATTTAAAATAATTTATAAGCATAAGCACAAACTTCTGATAAAATAATGTATTATATTTCTCCCCTGATAGGTTGGGTGACAGAATATCCTATGAAGGAGAAGATGAACCTGACCAAGCTTCATTAAAAGTAGACACTGACATCTTGCAAAATGCCTTAGCTGAAAATGGCACACCCTATTATGATGCATCTAGGTGAGTTCACTTTTACAAAGTAGTCTTTCAGAAAAGACATTTTGAATTATAAGTGCTTTTTATTTTTGTGTCTCCATGAAGCCATTTCTGCAGGGCAACAATGCATGTTTCCTCATGCCAGGGCTTCCTCCAGCTGCATTTATGTACATGACTTGCATGCAGAGCCTGTAACATGGAACAAGCCAGGGTGAACTAATCATCACTTGCATTTTGTTGCACAAAATGCCAACATCAGATATTGCACCAATTTTAGGAAAACTTTCCCATTTAAGATTTCAGGATAGATAAATTTCTAAGGCAAAAGTTTCGTGTCCTGCCGAAACCAGTTTGGCTCAATGGATAGAGCATCGGCTTGGGGACCTACAGGTCCCAGGTTCGATTCCGGTCAAGGGCATGTACCTTGTTTGTGGGCACATCCCCGGTACGGGTTGTGCAGGAGGCAGCTGATCGATGACTCTCTCTCATCGATGTTTCTAACTCTCTATCTCTCTCCCTTCCTCTCTGTACAAAATTAATAAAATATATTTTTAAAAAAAGTTTCGTGTCCACAGAAAGAAAAGATGTCTAATAATAAAATCTACATTCACAGAGACATTTGTCAAGAGCAGCATTGAAGTATAGACAGTAGAGATCTCTACTGAGGACAAAGAAAAAACATTTTCTCATTTGAACAGAAAAGTTGGTTGATAAACCCTAAGCTCCTCTCTTTTAAAGGATTTTGTTTCCAATACTGGCAGAAGAAATAGCAAAAGACATAATATGGGTAATAATCAAGATTGTTTCCCCTTATGTCTGTCATTATTAAGGGTAGGAGAAATAAAGCACCATAAATAAGTGGAAACTAATTCAAATGTTATATTTTTCCTACCGATATTTCTTAGAGAAGAATTTGCTTTATAGATTCTATCAGGGAATATTATTTAATGTTGATATATACTTCTACAAAAGCTAATTTCTTTGCTTTTCAAAACTTGAGGGTGAAAAAAATATGGGTTAGTAGGAAGCTAGAAAATCTAATTCAATTATTAGAAAATCTCCTTTTGGACTTAAGTTTTTATAAGGAGCTTTCATAAGTTTATTAATTTCTTTCTTATTGATTGAGCCAAAATAATATTTTAGAAAAATCATTTTTAAAATAATGATTATCCTTTCTTGTTTTAGGAATACCAGACATGCTGATGGAGTTTTCACCAGTGACTATAGCAAACTCTTGGGTCAACTTTCTGCCAAAAAATACCTTGAGTCTCTTGTTGGAAAACGCTTTGGGTAAAAATAAATTATTATTATTTTATCAAACACATTATGATCTTTAATCTGAGGATTATATTTGCACTGTTAATAATCTGCTAGTTTTGTTGCACATTTATAAATTTGATCGTATTTAATTTAATTAAAAAATAATTTATATTCTTCAATAAAATATACCAGTCCCATGGATTAAGGAAATAAGGCTTACTAATAAAATTCTCACTGGCTCTAGACACACTTATTTTCCTTTAGGAGCAAACATTTGTAAATCTTCAATCAAATTGAAGTAGACACAGTAAAAAATAAATAAGACATGGTATAAATTGAAGCAAATGTTAAGGTTAATCATAATAGTTTTTTTTTTTTAACTTCCTGCTCAAACCATGCATTGGAAGATTCTTTCTTTAAATGACCAATAGTTGAATATTTAGATGGCACTATTCAGGTGACATAGCTCCTCACGAAGCATTAATTTATAAATAACTTTTTTCTCCCAGTGGCAGAAAACAAACTTTAAACATCCCCCTATGATTTGACAGAACATTTGCCCACTTGGTACGTACTACTGAACGTATCTTAAGACACTCCCAGTAAGTGCCAACATATATTGGATTAGTTCTCACTCTCTCATCCTTAGGCTTAGGGGTATTTTTTTCCTATGTATTTTTTTGGTCATAGAAAATGAGTTGGGCATTAGAATTCATTTTTATTTGACACCAAGAAAAATTGGAACTGTGGTATATTTATAATTTCTTGCTAAAAATCCTTGATTCTATCTCCATCACATCGCTTAGCAATGACATCTCAGAAGGCCAGGGGCCAATCAAACGGCATTCGGATGCGGTCTTCACTGACAACTATACGCGCCTTCGGAAACAAATGGCTGTGAAGAAATACTTGAACTCAATCCTGAATGGGAAGAGGAGGTAAAGAAATTCAACTTGCTAAAACAAGAACTTGTCAAGGACTTTTAGAAAGAAGCTACAGAGGGAACCTCCCTATTCCTCTATCTCAGTATCTATCCTCTGAAGCAGTAATTCTCAACCTTGGCTGCCATCAGGCAACTCTGGACAGAGCCCTACCCAAACTCACTGCCAGGAATGAGTGCCTTTACGGATATGGCTCTAGACATACGGGTCTCTTCAGAGCCCCCTGGTTGATTCTATTGTGTCTCCAGGTTTAAAACTGAGGACTATAGAGGCATCTTCTTTGAATCTGGAAGCAAGTTTTAACAAAATAGCTGGTTTTTAACCATGGAAAGCACAGTCCACTAGCAATTTGGTGTCACATGGAACTCCCTGAATGAGAACTTCAATTCCCTTATTTTACCAATTATATCTGAGTTATTTTGTTTTCTGAGATTCAGTAAAGCCCGAGTCGGTCTGGGGTGTGTAGACATTGGAGCACAATAAATCGGAAGTGGGGTGCTCTCTTTTTATTCCAATTATTTTTGGTTAGAATGTGAGTATAATTAAGGATGACCCTGAATGGGTGAGGCCATACAAGATGACTTTCTTTGCTCACCAGATTGTAATTGTGTAGGAATGATTTTAGACACCTTAAAATAAAAAATTTAAAAAATCATTCACAGGTAAGAACTAAACTGAAAAATAATTACTTCGCTCCCAGAGCACTTTACAGGGCCCAGAGAATAGCATAGGTTCCACTGTATCATTTGTTTAGATGCTTTCTTCTCTAAGAGCCTTACCATGCACAATTTTCTCTTTCTGCTCTACAGCACTGAGGGGGAATACCCTGACATTTTTGAAGAGCTAGAAAAATGATGAAAAGGGTCCTTGAGGAAAGCTGGTGGAAACGACCCAATGGTGCGTATATCTGTGGATTCTTATCATATTTTTATAGCAATCACCCAGCTATTTCAGTAGGTAAGAGCCCCTTGGTAAGAGACATCCTAGACTTGTTCACAGTGAGACCTCCTATAAGAATGACACTCCTATCAGAGGCGAACCATGGGCCAGTAGTCAGCTTAAAAGGATTCCTGCAGGTTCTGATTACATAACGGAGAAAAATCACAATTAGTAGACAGTTTTGTATTTCCTAGTTTACCCAGACATATCCCTACCCTCTATCAAGATTTAAAACAGCAGAGACTGACTCACACTAATGAGGAAAACTGGTGTTCTTATCAAGCATCCAGCCAGGCTGCTGTTATTAATTTAGGGTTTCATTTCACGATTGACTGCTAGTATCTTATTCAATTTAAGTGCAGGGAAATGCCCCCAAATTACAACAGGTTTGTTATTATGAAAATACAATGCACTTTGGGTCTCATTGTATTCCTTGAAACATAGCAAGCTTCAGGCAGCAAAAGTCAAGTTCTGCTTTTTTTTAATCTATAAAGTAAGTGTATTATGACTCCAGTAGTATTCACTGTAAAATAATTTTTGAGTAGAGAAAACACAAATAGGTTTTTTCTTTGTTATATAATAAGTTTTTAACACAATTACTTTTATATGTACATAGATACAAGGCTAATATTTTTGCCTGAGTACATTAATGCTTATATTAGCTCATAAAACAAATTTACAATATTTGGCAAGTGCTTAAAGAAATTTTACATCATCATCACTTGAGATTAACAAATTTTTCTCTAAAGGCTGTGGAGTATATATTTTTGGTTTTGTAATCTATATAGTTTCTTTCAAATATATGCCTGCTACTGTAGCAGAAAATTGTCCATAGATAATATGTAAAATAAATGGGAGCAGCTGTGTTACAATAAAACTTTATTTCTAAAACATGAAGGTAGGCTAGACTCCAACCCTGAAGGGGTCAAGGAGACTAAAATAGACCTAAGATTAGAAAGAGTATAACTCATTGTCTTACCTCAGTCCTGGTTTCTATGAGAGTCCTCAGTAGTGCGGGGTGTGTGCGAAGACACCTGCACAATTGGTGACTTGTGTCCACTGATTACCCTTCACTTCTAAGGGACATGCCTGGTCAGTGTGTGTGGCACATGCCCATTCATGGTCATAAATGTGTAGTTCAGAGAAATGAGTCCCTTTGCTCAAAAAAGAAAGATAATCCCATGTGGCTTCTTGAAAAGCTGTTTATAAGAAGAAGGCCTCTCCATGACATTATACAGCACAGCAGACATTAAACACAGAAGAGGGCTAATCACTGTGTCTTTTGTAAAATGTAAGATTATGTATGATATTATATCTTCCATTCTTTATTTTAATATGTAGTTTTGGACAAATTTTTTTTCACAAGCAATCTTGTGGGTCAGCCATTTGTGAAAATTATAAATTATCGGTTGACCAGAGAGCCCCTTCCCATCCCTGTGCCATTTCTAACCATCAGTCCTTTGGAAGATGTGCTCCTGATTTCCCACAACATGATCCCATCACAGACTATTGACAAGGGGCAAAGAGAAAGACATGTTTATGGAATGAGAGGATAAGGGAATGAAATTAAAATGCTGTCAATGAAAATACTTTTATGCTAACATACCAATTGTTTCTTTTTTAGATTCTTGAAGAAAAATCATAGATGTAATTACATTTTGAGCTCTACATAAGTAGTAATTCAAGAAAACATCTTCAATATTGAGACCAAATAAAATACTGTGTTGTGATTGTTGTGATTTATTTTAAGCTAATGTAAAAGCTGTGTTGTTTACATTGCAAATGTTATTTATGAGTTCTTAAATTTGTCTTTAACTCCTGGAAATCCTGTAATTTCACATGCTGTGTACCCTTTCTAATAAAAACATATTAAATGATAAGAAAATAGTAGGTTCATTCCAATTATATTAGGCTTTATGGAAGGGTAGAAGTTGAGCAAAATTTATCTGTATATTTATAGAGCTTCCTTAATTATTCACATAGTACACCAGATAATCCCTGTGTCCAAATTTGAATGATAAGCAGATAGAATGTTGTGTTAAGTAAACCTCACAATGTCTAAGAGGATACCAACCAAGTTAAAAATTTATTCTTCAAAAAATATGTTTTTAAAAATGTGATGCATTTTTGAGGCAACCTTTATTTTAAACTGGATTAAAATCTCATAAATTTGGATCTCTAATACCAAAGGCTCTCTCCTTTGTTGATTCAATGAAGGAGAATGGCCTCTACTTCTGACTTTGGACCTCGCCTTTAATCTTGTGTAAAGTATTGTAAAATGTAAACTTGTTTCCCAGAGCTAAGTACTTTTTCTCCAAAATCCTTCAAAGAATGTTTGGTCATACCAGCTTCTGTCAGTGAAAGTACATCTGGAGATACAACTATTTTTCCAAAATGATTGTAAGAAATTAAACATAGAAAATAAAGGTGTCTGATTGCAAACAATTTCTGTTGTTTTGAGTCTTTAAATGATACAGTAGTAGTAGCTCATTTTAGCACTAAAATGCCGGCCACTAGATTGTTTTTGTGATGTTAGAGGTAGAATTATGTTTGACTTGGTGTGAGATATGAAAGAGAAAAGCCCAGAATGTTCCCAAGGTAGATCCACCTACCCTGAATTAACTGAGATGGAAAAGACAGGAGGAGGGAGGTTCCAGAACAAAAAGAGTTTAGATTTAGACATTTTAAAGATATATGTTAGGAGTTCTGAGGAGATGCTGGGTTGGAGGTAAACTGTTGGTAGACTTCAGTATATGAAAGAGATTTAAAGGCACAGGTCATGAGATCATCAAGGACCAAATCTACACTAATAAAAGAGAAAGAGGCAAATTGACCATATCTTAAATATGCCCACCAGCCAATCAGGAGTGAGTATGCAAATTAACCCAACAAGATGGCAGGTTAATTTGCATACACAGGCGCCAAACTGCCAGGGGCAGGAAGCAGGCATTCTGCACTGCCCCACCTGCTCAGGGCCTCTGGGCAGCATGGGACGGCGGAAAGGCAGCTCTAGCTGGAGTGAAGGCCGTGTCAGCACCCAGAAGAAGGAAGGCCCATTCTTGCATGAATCATGGTGCATTGGGCCTCTAGTGTAACTATGAAAGAATCTCAACACAGGATCCCTGGTGTGTTCATTTGCCAGAACTGTTATGACAATATACCAAACTCAGAGGTTGAACAACAGAAAATGCATTGTCTCAGTTCTGGAGGTAGAAGTCTGAGTTCAGGGGATTTGCAGGGTTGATTCTTTCTGAGGACTGTTAGGACAATTTAATCTCTCTAATTTAGTTTCCTAGTCATCTTTGGCTTGTAGAGGAATCACCTTGATTTTTTTGTTGACATTCACATGGGTGTGTGTGTGTGTGTGTGTGTGTGTATGCCCCCAATTTTTCCTTTTTAGAAAGATACTAGCCATATTAGATTAAGGCCTAGCAATATTAGATTAAGGCCCATGCTAATTACTTCATTTTAATGGTTTTACCTCTGTAAGACTCTATCTCTAAATAAGGTCACATTTTGGGGTACTGAGAGTTAGAACAACATATGGATTGGGGGGACACAATTCAACCCACAACACTGAGACACTGCAACATTAATAAGCTGGCATGTTGAGGAACAAATGGGGTGAAAAAGAGTGAAAGAAGCAGTTAGTAAAATAGCAGAAAATAGGGAAGTGTATAGTTCTTTCAAGGAAGAAGGCATCTTTAAAAGATTTATAGCTGCTGCTATGTAAAATAGCATTTACTTATTGGTTTCTTCAACTAGTATTTATTAGGCACCTGCTATGTGCCTAGCACTGTCCCCAGTTCTGATGACATAACAGTGAACCAAATATACAGAAATTCCTGCCCCCAGATAACTTATATTCTACTGAGGGAAATAGATGATAAACAAACTAGTTAAGGAAAATACATGTTGTGTTAGAAAGGGATAAGCATTAAGAAGGAAAATTAATGTAGGGAAAGAGGATAGTAAGTGTTGAGATGTAAGGCTGAAGCTTTAGGTGAGGTTCCTGGAGAAGACCTCACAAGAAGATGAATTTGAGGAAAGCCCAGAAAGAAATCAGCTGTGAGCCTCTATGTAAACATCATTCAGGACAGAAGAATGTCCAGATGCAAAAGCCCTTTGTTTGGGGCTTACCTCATACTTTCGAGGAGCAGAGAAGAGGTCAATTTAGCTGACATGCAAAGAATGATGAAGATGCAATTTTAAGAGAGAGAGACAGAGAGGTTAAGAAGAATTGGGCCACATTGATCATCATGGGTCCCATTCTGCTGGGCTCTCCTTAGTACTCAAATCTTCCCTATCTCCTGGCTTTCAAAAACCTAGCTCTGTGACCCAGCCACTGCTGAGTGTTCTACTGATCCTTTCCCAGAACTGAGTTTTGCTTTGCCTTATCTTGTCTGTGAGGAAGGCCTTTGCCCCGGTAGACCCTGAGAAAGATGATACTGGACAAGAAGGGCTCCTGGTGGCTTAACTGGGCTCAAATTATAAACAACAAAAAGCCCACCCGGCGGCATGGCTCAGTGGTCTGGCTTGGACCTATGAACCAGGAGGTCACGGTGGGATTCCCCGTCAGGGCACAACCCTGGTTGTGGGCTGGATTCCCAGTGTGGTGCATGCAGGAGGTAGCTGATTGACGATTCTCTCTCATCATTGATGTTTCTATCTCTATCTCACTTCCTCTCTGAAATCAGAAAGAATATATAATTTTAAAAAACTGCACAAAACAGAACAGGCACACACAAAAACAGATGCTAGCAGCCATTTCTACACAGGGCCTGACACACAAACTGCACTTCAGGGAGAAGCCTGCATTGAACAATCTGCCACAGCACTGAACTGCCCTGGGCCCCAGCCATCTGAGCCAGACCTCACAAAGGGCTCCTGGAGTTCTGTTCCCCTGTCAGTTGGAACACAGCAGTAGCCCCCTCAGCATCTTCA